TTATAGCATTTTTTCATATGACTATAAAGAGCTTTGATTTCTTTTCAAAGTTGCCTGTTTATATATCCTTTGACCATTTATCAGTTGAAGAATGGCTTTTATTTTTATTTGAAAAATGAGGCTTAGCCATAACAGATATAAAACTATTTTAAAGCAGCAATCATCAAAACTACTTGGTACTGGCTAAGAAACAGAGTGATGGATCAGTGGAATAGGTTAGGTACACAAGACACAGTAGTCAATGACTATAGTAATCTACTGTTTGATAAACCCAAAGACTCTAGCTTCTGGGATAAGAACTATTTGACAAAAAACTGCTGGAAAAACTGGAAAACAGTATGGCAGAAACTAGGCATAGACCAACATCTTACACCCCATACTAAGATAAGGTCAAAATGGGTACATGATTTCCACATAAAGGGTGAAACTATAAGCAAATTAGGAGATCAAGGAATAGTTTACCTGTTAGATCTATGGAGAAGGGAAGAATTTATAAACAAACAAGAGATGGATAACATTATGAAATGCAAAATGGATGACTTTGGTTACACTAAATTGAAAAATTTTTGCACAAACAAAGCCAATGCAACCAAGATTAGAAGGGAAGCAGAAAGCTGGGAAACAATTTTTACAGGAGGTGTCTCTGACACAGACCTCATTTCTAAAATAGAGAACTGAGTCAAATCTATAAAAATACAAGTCATTCTTCAATTGATAAATGGCCAAAGGATATGCAGAGACAGCTTTGGGAAAAAGAAATTAGAGCTATCTATAGTCATATGATATTATAGTCAGTTAGAGAAATGCAAATTAAAACGATTCTGAGGTATCACATCACAACTATCTGATTGGCTAATGTGATAAAACAGGAAAATGATAAATGTTGGATATGTGGGAAAATTGGAACCCTAATCCATTGTTGATGGAGTGGTGAACTAATTCAACCATTCTGGAGAACAATTTGGAACTTTGCCCAAAGGGTTATGAAATTGTGCACACCCTTTGATCCAGCAATAGCACTATGAGGTCTATATTCCAGAGAGATCATAAAAAGGAGAAAAGGACCCACATATACAAAAAAAAATTTATAGCAGCTCTTCTTGTGGTGGCAAAGAATTGGAAATTGAGGGGATGCTCATTAATTGGGGAATGGCTGAACAAGTTGTGCTATACGAACGTAATGGAATACTATTGTTCCATAAGAAACAGTGAGTAGACAGACTTCAGAAAAACCTGGAAAGACTTGCATGAACTGATGTTGAGTGAAGTGAGCAGAACCAGGAGAACACCATGCACAGTAACAGCAACAATGGTAATAACTGAGTTTGTTAGACTTAACTCTTCTGATCAATGCAATGATTTAAGACAATTCCAAAAGACTCATGATGGAAAATGCTACCCACATCCAGAGAAAGAACTATGGAGTCTGAATGCAGATCGAAACATATTATTTCCTCTTTTATTTGTTTTTTGTTTTCTCATGGTTTTTCCCTTTGGTTCTGATTCTTCTTTACAACATGACTAATGTGGAAATATGTTTAATATGATCATACATGTACAGCCTATATCAGACTGCATGCCATCTTGGAAAGGAGGGAGTGGAAGAAAATTTAGAACTCAGAATCTTATAAAATTGAATGTTGAGAACTAAAAATAAATTTTAAAAAAAGGAAAAATGTGGCCTTTGTCAGAGAAGCGTGCTGTAAAAATATAGATATTACTTCACTGTCTATACTCATTTAGTAATTTTTCAATGTGTCCAACTCTCTGTGACCCCATTTGGGGTTTTCTTGGCAGAGACAATGAACTGGTTTGCCATTTCCTTCTCCAGCTCATTTTACAGATGAGAAACTGAGGCAAACAGGGTTAAGTGACTTGTCTAGGGTCACACAGCTAGTAAGTGTCTGAGGCTGGATTTGAACTCATGAAGAAGAGTCTTCCTGATTCCAGGCTTGGCACTCTATCCACTGTGCCACTTAGTTGCCCCTTGATCATAGTACCTTTTAGCATGTAATATCTCTGATTACCTCTTTTAATTAGGCCTACTTTTGCTTTGTCTGAGATCATGATTGCTACCCTTGCCTTTTTTACTTTAGCTGAAGCATATGAGATTCTGCTCCAACCTTTTATTTTAACTCTGGGTGTATCTTTCTGTTTCAAGTGTGTCTCTTGTGAACAACATATTGTTGGATTCTGGTTTCTAATCCATTCTGCCATCTGCTTCTGTTTTATGGGTGAGCTCATGCCACTCACATCACATTTATGATGACTATGTATTTCCCTCCATCCCATTTTCTTGTCTCTCTCCCTGCCCACACTGCCTCTCTTAATCTGCCCTCCCTTTTATCACTTTTCCCCTTTCTCTTATTCCTTTCCCCTCCTATTTCTCTATTGGATAAGTCACACAACTGAGTGTGCATCTGTGTATGTATGTATGTATGTATGTATGTATGTATGTATGTATATTCTTCCCTCTAATAAGTGAGGTTCAAGCATTGCCCACCAGCCCTTCAAACCCCCCCCCATTTTTTCCCTCCATTGTAAAAGTTCTTCCTTGCACACCTCTTTTGTGAGAAAATCTCTCCCATTCTACCTCCCTTCCCCCTTCTAGTGCATCCCTCTTTCTTATTTTTTCATTTTTTAGATCATTCCACTAATAATTGACTCATACCCATACCTTCTATCTATGTAAACTATTTTTAACTACCCTAATAATGACAAAGTTCTTAGGAATTACATGTATCCTCTTCCCATGTAGGAATGTAAACAGGTTAATTTTATTGAGTCTCTTATGATTATTCTTTCATGTTTACCTTTTTATGCTTCTCTTGAGTCTTCTATTTGAATGTCAAATTTTTTATTCAGCTTTGGTCTTTTTATTAGGAGTGCTTGAAAGTCTCCTGTTTCATTAAATATCCATTTTTCTCCAGAAAGATTACATTCAGTTTTGCTAGGTAGGTTATTCTTGATTGTATTCTAAGCCTTCTGCCAATCCTTTAACATGGAAGCTGCTAAATCTTTTGTGATTCTAACTGTGGCTCCATGATATTTTAATTGTTTCTTTCTGGCTGCTTAAAATGTTTTCTCACTCACCTGGGAACTCTGGAATTTGGCTATATTATTTCTGGGAGTTTTCATTTTGGGATCTCTTTCAGGAGGTGATCAATGGATCCTTTCAATTTCTATTTTGCCCTCTGGATCTAAGATATCAGGGCAGTTTTCTTGGATAAATTCTTGAAATATAATATCTAGGCTATTTCCTTGATTCATGGCTTTTAGGTAGTCCAATAATTCTTAAATTATCTCTCCTCAATCTATTTTCTAGGTCAATTATTTTTCCAATGAGATATTTCAAATTTTCTTATGTATTTTCATTCTTTTGACTTTGTTTTATTGTTTCTTGATGTCTCATGGAGCTTCCCCTTGCCCAATTTTAATTTTTAAGGAATTATTTTTTTCAGTGATATTTGGTACCTCTTTTCCCATTTGGCCAATTCTGCTTTTTTAAGGTGTTATTTTCTTTAGTATTTTCTTGTGCCTCTTTTACCAATCTGTTCCTTCTCTTTTCATAATTTTCTTGCATCACTCTCATTTCTTTTCCCAATTTTCCCCCTACCACTCTTAGCTCTTCCTAGAATTCTTGTTGGGTTTAGATCCAATTAGGATTTTTCTTTGAGGCCCTTTTTTTTGGGTAGCTGTTTTCACATTACTGCCTTCTTCTGAGTTTATGTCTCATTCTTCCCTGCCCATGTGGTAGCTTTTTATGGCCCATTTTTTTTCCCCTCATTTTTCCAGCCTATTTCTTGACTTTGAACTTTACGTCAAAATTGGGCTCTGTTCACTGGGGGTGAGGAGGTGCTGTGCCTAGCTTCAGGCTCTTTTTGTGCTGCTGTTTTCAGAGCTAGTTCTGGGGAACTGCGAGTTTTGGGTGCTTCTAAGGTGGTGTGCTTTAGGGTGAGGTATGATCACTGCTCGCCTGAACTATGCTCTGGTCTTTACCCAGGAAGAGCTCCTAGTCCCCTACAGCTCTAAGTGCTAGCACTCCTCTTTGATTTGGAACTATGACCAGGGCCCCTGTTCCCTTCCACAGCACTCCTCTCTGCTGTAAAACTGCAACTTAAAACTATGTATGGGCAATAGAGTTGCCAATCAGTGATAGCTGCACCCAGTGCCAGCAAAGGGTCCCCTGTAATCTCTTTCTGACCAGCTGTCTGACTCCCTTACCATCTCTGGGCTGACAGCTCTCAGAACTGCTGTAGCCACTGTTGCAGATGATGCACAAGCGGGCTCCAGACAGGCCTCAACCCTAGTGTCACAGACCTCTCTTACTGACCTCCTAAGTTTCTTAGGCCAGAAAACTGTCTCACTTCAACCCCATTTTGATGGCTCTGCTGCTCCAAAATTTAATTTGATGAGTTATTTTAAAGTTGTTCAGAGGGGAATGTTAGGAGAATTCATCTGGATGACTGCCCCTAATTGACCATCTTGGCCTAAATTCTCATTCTTCTGATACTAACACCAATACCCAGACCCCTGCAAAAAGATGGTTAGAATGAAGGCCAATCTTAGAGCCAGAAAGAGGATAAGTTTTGGATACTGAGGACAGGGACTGGGAGTCCAAACACTGGACTTCAGCTCAACCTCCATTTATCAGCCACAGAATCTAGGATCATTTCACCTCCATAAGCCTCAGTTTCCTTAGTGGTAAAATAGAAATGAGAATGCTTATACTCCAGTATCTGTTACAGGGCTGCTATGAGGAATGTCCTCTATAAACCCATAGAGATGGCTTTTAAATCACAGTTCAGCAATGTACACATCTGTAGAAAACTATGTCTAGGACCTATTAGTGATAACTGAGCCCAACTTTAGGGAAGTTCTACGGGTGCTTCTAGTAATTAAATCCCTTAGGTGAAATACAAAACAGACCCTCTGCAATAGTGTAATTTCATGCCACTGTGAGTCACATTACAGCAAGGTACCAAATTGTTCTACACCTGTGTCTACATTACCAGTTTATTACAATGCAGTATTTTGCCCCATTGGCATTTCCATTATCTAGGCTTCAGTTTTTCCATCTGGAAAATGAAAAAGACATGAAAATAAAAAAAGGTATAAAAAGGCTGATTAATACAAACCTAATATATTATTACTATAAAAGAAACCAAAGGTTGGATTCCCTGAACTTTAAGGTCCCTTCAGGATCTAATATTCTGAGTCTCTAAGTAATGACAGCTTAGGTTAAAGGAGCTTCTATAACATTTTGTTTAGTAACATCAATCACCTTGATGTTATCCCTCAGTAAAGATACTCTAGAAATGCAAACTGTGCTTGCAACACTGATCCAATGTTGGAAAGCGTGGATTGACGTCAAATATTTTTTAGCTGAAATGTCAAAATCTTAGCATCTAGTGGACTTATTTTATACTCAAACACTTAAATGTAGCCTATTTATGAGAGACTTTCCCTGATTACTTGAATAATTAAGATCTCTATTAGAAATTTCTGAAATAACAATAGGCTATAGAGAGGAGACACAAAGGGCATTGTTTCACTCATCCAGCCAACAGCCTTCTTGCCCCATCCCAGAGAGTTAGTTGAACCTAGATATGGTGCCAGTGGGGAGGGTTTCATTACATATTGAAATTAGGATAGAGGGGGGTAAAAACTTAGTCCCAGGATGATCAGATCCCAATTATGAAGAACATGCAGCTGAAGATGGCACCTTATTCATCTGTTTCCTCATCGTCACACGGATCTCGAAGTCCATCACTAAAACGACTTTTCCCAACCATTTCTAACAAGCAATGTGCCTCAATGTTACTGTCCAGAACAGTCTTCTTATTGGATGACTAAGGAAAAAGCAGAGGATTAAATATGTTTGCAACACCCAAACAGAGATGCATGTAATTAATAGCTTAGAATGGACAAAAGCCAACCTATTAATAATTCTCAAGCTTATTAAAATAGGCTTAACTATATTATTGCCATAAAGGAAAGAAAATGGACTAGATAATCTGGTTTTCCCTTCTTATTCTAATAACATTGTAAATAATAAGTCATCATTAAAAACCTAGCTTTGAGTTTTCAGAGAAAGTCTGTCAGAAGACCCCATCCTGCCCTGCTGGAGAGAAGGTGCAGTCTACTGGAAAAAACCATGAACTTTTCTATGGAACTTGGAAGCCATGAAAACTAAATTAGAATCTACCATCAGATTGCTATCTCAGTCTGCTAGGGCTACACAGGCTAAAATTACAAGTAGAACTGATCAAGGAAAATCTGATTAAAGAAAAAAGGGGCCTAAGTAAAGGCAGGTTTGGGTTGCTCCTTTGAAAGCTGATGATGGTCTACTTTAATAAATCCAAAGATCCAAGCTTCTGGGGGTAAGAACTCAACATATGACAAAAAATTGCTGGGAAAACTTGAAAACAGTTTAATGGAAACTAGGTATAGACCAATATTTCACATTGTATACCAAGATAAGGTCAAAATGGACAAATGATTTAGACATAAAGGGTGATATAAGTAAATTAGGGGTGCATGGAAAAATATACCTGTCAGATTTATGGATAAAGAGTTGTGACCAAACAAGATACAGAAAGGATCACGGGAAATAAAACAGATAATTTTGATTGCATGAAATTAAAGATTTTGCACAAACAAAACTAATGCAGAGAAAATTAGAAGGAAAACAGGAAACTGGAGAAAATTTACAGCAGGTCTCTCTGATAAAAATCTAAGTTCTCAAATACACAGAGAATGGAACCAAATTTATAAAAATAAAAACCATTCCTCAGTTGATAAACAGTCAAAGGATATGACTTTTCAGCCAGAAGTTTTCAGAAGAAGAAATCAAAGCTATCAATAGCCACATGAAAAAATGCTCTAAATCACTAGTGATTAGAGAAATGCAAATTAAATCAACTCTGAGATAACTCACACCTGTCAGATTGGCTCACATGACAGGAAAAAAAATGATAAATGCTGGAGAGGATGTGGAAAAATTAGGACACTAATGCACTGATGGTGGAGTTGTGAACTAGTCCCCCATTCTGGAGAACCATTAGGAACTATGTCCAAAAGGCTATAAAATTGTGCATACCCTCTGACTCAGCAGTACCACCACTGTATCTGTATCCCACAGAGTTCAAAGAAAAAGGAAAAGGACCTATTTGTATAAAAATATCTAAAGCAGCTCTTTCTGTGGTGGCAAAGAATTGGAAATTGAAGGGATGCCCATCAATTGGAGAATGGCTGAACAACTCGTGGTATATGATTGTGATGGAAAACTACTGAGCTACAAGAAATGACAAGCACAGTGGTTTCAGAAAAACCTGGAAAGATTTATACGAACTCAGGCAAAGTGAAGTGAGGAGAAGCAGGAGAACATTGTAAACAGTAACAGCAATATTGTAAGGATGTTACAACTGCGAAAGACTCACTATTCTGAGCAAAATTATGATCCAAAACAATTCTAAAGGACCCATGATGAAAAATGCTATCTACCTCCAGAGAGAGAGAACTGATTAACTCTGAATGTAGACTGAGGCATACTTTTTTTAAACTTTATTTTTATTATTTTATTTGGTTTGTGTTTTCTTTTGCAACATGGATAATATGGAAATATGTTTTGCATGAATTTACATATATAATTGATATCAAATTGCTTGCCTTCTCTAGGAGGGAGAAGTGGGAGGGAGGGAGAGAATTTGGAGCTCAATATTTTTAAAAAATTATTATTAATAAAATTTTTACACATAATTGGGAAATATTTAATGAATAAAAATGATCTTTTAAAAGCTAATGATAGTTCAGGGAGAGAAAGAAATAAATTTATGGACCTAAGTTAGGAGGTGGCCTCCCAAACCAAATATGTATGAATAAATACTTCCCCAGAAATCAACATGGCAAAATGAACACAGGACAGTCTTGGAGTCAGAAGACCTTCAGGCTTCAACACTGTCTCTGCCACCTTCTATTTGTGTGACCACTTAAGCTATCACCACCCTCGAGCAGCTGGGGCTTTAAGTTGCGAATCTGTATTAGTGAAGTGAGTCTGAACACTGGGAATACCCCATGTGGTGGGCAGAGGCCATGAAAAAGCTGAGGAATAACTGAAAGATAATGAGGCACAACAGAAAAGCTCTGTATTTAAAGCTGAAGGACCCCTGTTCAGAACAGGGCTCAGTAACCTGTGTGCCTTGGGGCAAGTCATTTCCCTGGTCTAAGTCAACATTTCTTCATCTTTCAAATGAGGATGTTTAATGATCCCCCAAATCGCTTCCAGCTCTAAAGTCTATGAGTCCTTGGTCTCTCCTTCCAAGCACCTGTATTATAAGATTTAAAGTAATTTATCCCTGGCTTCAGGGGACACATTAGAGGGAGGGAATAAGGAAAAAGACTGGTTAAATAGGGTGATGGTTATATGCTCAAGACAATGGCTACATGCTTGGAAAGTTTTAGTCACTTACCTTCTCATTTGCACAAATATCTCCAACTGCCCATACCTCTAGGATATCGAACTCGAAATTTTCCTTGGCTGATAGCTGAGGGCTGTTATAAGTAGAACATCTAGGTTTTGCTTTGCTGTGTCCTTTCCCAAAATCATAATCAATCCAAAGCCCAAAGTAATCAAACTGACCTCCCATGCCCTGCAAATGAAATGGAATAGCAAGCAAATCCACATAAGTGAATCCATCCATCCCAGAAAGACACGTTATTACTTAGTTTTAAAACATAAAATAACATAATCCTAGGTCATGTGATTCTTTCCCTGAAAAGAACAATGACTTATAAAATGGTAATCATCAAAACAAACTGGTACCAGCTAAGAAATAGAGTGGTGGATCAGTGGCATAGATTAGGTACACAACACACAGTGGTAAATGACCATAGTAATCTAGTGTTTAATAAACCCAAAGATCTAAGCTTTTGGAACAAAAACTCACTATTTGACAAAAACTGCTGGGAAAACTGGAAAACAGTATGGCGGAAATTAGGTATAGAGCAACATCTTACACTGTATACCAAGATAAGGTAAAAATGGGTACAGATCTAGACATAAAGGATGATACCATAAGCAAATTAGGAGAGTATGGAATGAATGGTTCACCTATGATATCTATGGATAAAGGAAGAATTTAGGACCAAACAAGATGTAGAAAGCATAATAAAAGATAAAATGGATGATTTGATTACATAAAAATAAGAAGTTTTTGCACAAACAAAACCAATGCAACCAAAATTAGAAGGAAAGCCAAAAACCGGAGAAGTTTTTACAGCAAGTATTTGTGACAAAGGCCTCATTTCTCAAATATATAGAGAACTGAGTCAAGTTTATAAGACTATAAGTCATTCCCCAATTTGTAAGTGTCAAAAGATATGAAAAGGCAGTTCTCAGACAAAGAAATCAAAGTTATCTATCATCATATGGGAAAAAATGCTCTAAATCACTATCGATTAGAGAAATGCAAATTAAAAAAAACTTTGAGGTATCACCTCATGCCCACCAGACTGGTTTATATAATAGAAAAGGAAAATGACAAATTTTGGAGGGGATGTGGGAAAACTGGAACACTAATGCATTGTTGATGGAGTTGTAAACCAATCCAACCATTCTGGAGAGCAATTTGGATCTATGTCCAAAGGGCTATAAAACTGTGCATACCCTTTCATCCAGAAATATTATTGTATCCCAAAGAGACTTTTTAAAAAGGGAAAAGGATATCTATTTGTACAAAGATATTTATAACAGCTCCTTTTGTGGTGGCTAAGAATTGGAAATTGATGGGATACCCATCAATTGGGGAATAGCTGAACAAGTTGTGGTATATGATTGTAATGGAATATAATTATGCTATAAGAAATGACAAAGAAGATGATTTTAGAAAAACCTGATACAAAATATAATGAGCAGAACCAGGAAAATGTTGTACACAGTACAATATTGTACGATTCATACAAGTATAAATGACTTTGCTGTTTTCAGCAATACAATGATTTAAGACAATCCCAAAGGACTCATGTTGAAAAATGCTATTTCCCTCCAAAGAACTGATGTCACCTCAGTGCAGATCAAAGCATACTATTTTTCACTTTCTTTTTGTTATTGTTATTTAAGTTTTCTTGCCCAAAATGACATGACTGCACATGTATAACCTATATTAGATTGCTTACTATCTCAGAGAAGAGGGAGGGCAGAGACGGAGGAATAGAATTTAGAACTCAAAACTCAGAAAAAAAATATCATTTAAAAAAAGAAAAGAGCAGCACCTATTTAGATCTTTTTAAAACTAGACTTATAATACTGAGTCTCTACTGAAGTCTTCCTGCAATGCTTCCTCATGTCATGGAGATGACCCTGGGTTCTCAAAGGCTATGCCATACTGGAAATGGGCCAAGAATGAGCCTGGCAATAGACTAAATTCAGCCTGGCTAAAAGGCCCATCAGCAGCTCATTGGCCAAAGGGGAGGATTTTCAGGTCCAACGGCTCAGAAGGATCATCTGCTGAAACACTGCAATCCATTCTAGGAAAGGGAGTATCCAAACCGACAAAATCACAGGTACAATAATCTTAAGTAAGACCAGGACCAAAGAGCACCAGAGGTTGTTTTCAATTTATCAGCCACTTAAGTGCCTCCAATGTGCAGAGCACTGTGATGATTCCGTGGCATGCCAGCTGCCTAGGCTGGCCTCTTCCCACCTGCAAGGGAGACAGAGACTGATCTCCCAACTTGTAGGCTGAGGTAGTGGACTTGGATTACTTCTTACTTCCCACTGCCATTTCCAAGCTCATTTTCTACCAACATTATTCAGTAAATTGTCCTTTGAGGTTCATTTAATTCCTATCTGCCACTCACCCAACATTCTGGCAGCTGTTGTCTACAAACCTCCAGGACACGCTTTCCTCAATGAGTTCAGTGCCTGGGCTTACAATGCTTCTCTCTTTCCCAACTCCTGCCCTCATACTAGGGGACTTTAATATAAACACTGATAATCCCTCAAATACCTTAGCTCCCACTTCCTCAACTTACTAATTTCCCATTACCTATTCTTCCATACCACTTTGGCTAAACACAAATGGTCACAATCTCCACCTGTGGCCATTATCCACAAATGTAAAGCTTCTGTGTTCAGCAATTCTGAAATTCCCTTTTATGATCACAATGTTGTTATTTCAGCACTCCCTCTGCCCTAGTCTTCATCCTTATCATTACCTCCAGTCCCTCAAGCCCTTAGTTCTGTCCTAGGCTATCACCCCTAAACTGCCCCTACTCTCCTCCCTTCCCCACTTTGACCCCTTGGTGAACCAGTTCAACTCTACACTGCCCTCTTCTCTTGAGTCCCTTACTCCTTTATCCTATTACCAAGCTTGCCCTGCTAAGCCTCAATCAGCTGCCTTCCCTCCTACTTATGTGCTGCTGAATGGAAACTGAAGAAAAATTGTAAAACTGTGCTGACTGGATGCACTACAAATTTATGCTATGTGACTTCAATGGGACCCTCACTGAAGCAAGTCTTATCTTTCAGCACCAGGTCATCCCTTATCCCAAAACCTCCAGTCGCTCCCTGTGGCCTCTAGGATAAAAACATAAAACCTTGGGTTAGACAGTCAAGGCCCTTCATACCTCACTTTCTCCCCCAACTTTACCAGTCTCCTTATGCCTCACTCTCTTCATATACTTTGCAACTCAATAGCCCTGGTCCTCTTTACTGTTACTTGAACAAAATACTCCACTACCTCCTGACTCCAGGCATTTTTACTAGCTGCCACCATGCCTGCAGGATTCTTTGCATGCTCATCGCCACCTCCTGGCTTCCCTGACTTCCTTCAAGTCTCCAATAAAATCTTACCTTCTACAAAAAGTCTTTCACAATCTCCCTTAATGCTAATGCCTTCCCCCTGCAGATTATCTCCAGTTTACCCTGTATATATCTTGTCTGTACATAGTTGTCTGCATATTGATTCCTCTCAACTGACAGTGAGCTCATTGAGAACAGGAACTGGCCTTTCTTATCTCCAGCATTTAGCACAGTGCCTGGCACAATAAATGTTTACAGACTGACTGTACCAAGCCCTAGGGTTATAACGATGAAGAAAGACTCTGTCTGTTCCTTTGGAACAAGATCCATCCATCCATCCATAACTATGGTGCAAGGCTGAATATATAATGCAGAAGTCCAAGGAAAGTATAATGACAGACATGTGAAAAGAGAAAAAGCAAAGATCATTTTCAACTGGGGCAGTGAAGAGGAGAGGCAGAAGTGGGCTCCATCATGCCCTTAAATCCCAAGTCTACTTGGAAAAATAATACTTATGTATTGTAAACAATCAGAGAATAATACAAGACAGTATAGAAGGGTTAAATGGGTATGGAGGAGAGAAGACAGGATATAGAACAGCCATTATGGGGAATATGACAGTCAATAAGTCCTAAAGAACCAAGGATCCAGCTACAGACCAAAAATTTGTAGTGGAGCCAGGCAGCACAGTTTTCTTACTTCACCAGAAGCATTCTAACACTTGAAAATAGAAAAGTAAATACAAAGTGAGAGTTAGCCAGGATTTGGGAAGGGGGAGGTTGGAAGAAGGATTCAGAAGACATAGGTTTCTTCCATTCTCAGCTCTGCCACCAACAAGGTATGTGACTTTGGGTCAGCGACTTTAGCCCTCTGGCTAGTTTCTTCATCTGTAAAATCTCTAACTGGTTCCTTCCTTACTGCCCACAAACATGCCCAGATCATTCCCATTCTTCAAAAGACAAAAACAAAACACCTTCATTTGCCCCTGATATCTCCTCACTGAACTCCTAGAAAAATCTGTCTGAATTCCTCACTTCCACTTCTCTCACCTTCCATTAATATTTCAATTCCCTATAATCTAGATTCTGATTCCACTACTCAACTGAAATCTCTCTCAGAGGTCACCAACAACATCTTAGCTGAGAAATCCAATGGCCTTTTATCAGTTCTCATTCTTCCTAACCTCTCCCTAGTTCAGGGATGAACTTTTTTGTGTGTAATAGACCCCTTTGGAAGTCTGGTGAAACCTATGGACATTTACCCAGAATAATTTTTAAAATTCATAATGAGAGGAAATGCTAAATTTCAGTTAGAGGTTAGTGAAAATTAAAATGTAAATTTTTTTCCACCCCAAGTTTACAGACTTCCTGAAATCTCTCCATAGGCTCCTTGGAGGGTTGTGAGGGGAATAAGCCCCAGGTTAAGAACACTCGTCCTAGACACTGTCTCTTCCTTGGGCTTTCCTGTTATTGTCTTCTTCTGGGTTGTCCTGCTGCTGGACATCATGTCTGTCTCAGTCACTATGCATGGGCATATCCAAAGGCTTTGCCCTGGCTCCTCTCCTCTCTACACTCTGAGTGCTCTCATTAGCTCCAACTCATTTTCTGTGCAGATGACGCCTAGATCTCTCTGTCTCTGGCCCCCTCCTCTTCCAAGCACCGTTTCTACAACTACTTCACGTCCCGTAGGTATCTCAAACTCAACAAGTCCAAAACAGAACTAGTTTCCCCTGGAAATTCCTTCCTTTCCCTACCTTCCCTACATCTGCTGAAGGTGCAACCTTTTCAATCAATGAGGTTTGAGATGCTAGAATAATCCTCAACTCTTCCCTCTCCCTGGCCCTCCACACCGAATTAGCTGCCAATTCCTATTCAGTATATGCCTCTACATCTCTTAAATCTGTCCTTTTCACTCCATTCATATGGCCACTCCCTGGGTCAAGACCTCATCATCTCTCACCTACCTACTGCAATAGTCTTTTAATTGGTATCACTGCCTCAAATCTTCCCCTTCTCTAACCCATCCCCAATATAGACATCAAACTAATACTCCTTTTTTTTTTTGCTTCTGCACTCCCAGCACTGAGCCCAGAGCAGGCAATCAGTGCTCAAAGAACTAAACTAGCCATCATCTCCAGTGGGGACTTCCTCCATGCTTCCCAAGGCTGGTCCTCAGCAGACACCATTTGTCCCCAGGCCTATGACAGGGGTCCTCCCAGTCTGGCAAGACCCGCCAAAGCTTAGACTTCCCCAGTGCCACCTTTTAAAACTCAGGGTTACCTCCAAGCACCAAGGAAATGTGAGGAGAGATTCTCATTGAGGATGAGCTGTTGACTCTCATCAGAGAGGTGAGAACTTAATCCATTACTCTACAAATTCATTGTCACTTACCAATCCATTTGGTATAGTTTGTTGTCCATGATTCAAATACATATAATGATCATTGTATCCACTGTATGTATACACTGCAATGTTGGGGGAAATGGTAAACAGGAAGGATCTACTGTCCCCTAAAAATAGCCAAAAATTAAAACATGTTTGTATCACTGAGTACGCAATTAACAGAATCTACCCAAAATATAAATTCCAGAAAACAAGAGGCAATCCTATTCATGATTTATCACTGATGAAGCACTGTTTCTTTTAGTAGTTCTGTCTTACAGACAAGTAAGGGAAAGATTCAGAAGGTTCTGAATTCAGCATTTGCAGGATAGGTGGTTCTGGCTATACTGCTATTGTCTTGGACTGTGGGCTTCCAATAAGTACTCATAGTGTGTGCGTGCGTGTGTGTGCGTGCATATGTGTGTGTGTGTGTGTGTGTGTGTGTGTGACAGAGAGAGAGAGAGAGAGAGAGAGTATGCTCAGCCCTACTGTAACCTTTAATGTAAAGTCACCCTCTGCTGGACTTTTTTCTAGGAATTCAAATACATACTAGCTGACCTCCACCTTTCTTCCGCCACACTGGTGGATGGAGGAGTGTTCTGAAGAAGATTGATGATGTTACCAGTAAGGTGGAAGATCTGGAGCACTTCAAACCCAGCACAGGTGCATCACGAGTGTCGGTGGGATTAAGCACCGACTAAGCTATGACTGAAAACTAACATGAAAGATGAAGAAGTGAGTCTAAGGAAATTCTCCTCTCTCTATTCCTCTCTAAAATGGAGAAAATCCCTACTGACCTGCCCTACATCCTACGCTCTAAGGGTTCCTACGAGGCTCAGAGCCTTTACAATCAGAAGGGACTCCACAGGCTGTGCAGCCTGGTCCTCCCCCTACAGAGGGCCTCACTTCTCTACAAGCGACATAAGATCTACACAAAAATGAGGTATTATTAGCCTCCCAAAATGCTAGGAAAAATCAGCAGGAAGAAGATCATAGCCTTCTGGCTACAGATGTCCATGTGATGAAAATTTCCAATTACAGGGTTCACTGTGACAACGTGCAGACTTACCTTGAAACTGGCCCTTGACTGCCCAGGAATGAGATGAAAAGCCACCAAATACGTGACCATCCCTGTCCTTTACCACTAATAAGCACGGACCTTTGTCTATAATATTCCCACAAAATTTTGCAAAATTGCAGCCATGAATTTGAGAAGAAAAAATCCGTTTCCACGTGTACTGTAGTTTTATAGGCAGGTGAGAGTTGATGTAAATGATGGCAGGAATGTTAAAGAGGCTCATGAATTCTTTGCCATCTTTACATTCTGGGATGAAATTGGCCAGCTCTGTGTGAGAATGCAAAACCAGGAATCCTCGCCTGATGACCACATTTAAGAAAGTGGAGATCTGGGGCACTTTAAGCAGCCAGTCTTCGATCAAACTGTTGTCACAGCACAAATTGTCTTTGTCTGTCTCTTCATCTGAGGGGCCTGGGGGGAGAGAAATATAGGGCAAAGACATTCAGTTTCACAAAATTTTCCTACTAGATTATTCAAACTTCTAAACTACTTTTCTTCTCTGCAGCAAAGTCCATTACAGACATGATGGTGATATTTTTAATTTCACAGCAGCCCACGCCCTCAACCCTTGAACAATCTGTATCATAGTAAACCCCAAAGGCCCATGGACCAGCACCCAACAGCTGCTTTGTCTGAGGTCATCAAACAAAAAAGAAAATAGCTTCATAAGTCACTTCTGAGGACTTCATGGAGTGTTAGAACTGGACAGCACCTGGAAGATCCAGCCACTTCATCTGCAGAGAAGGAAAGTAGGAGCAGCAAGACAGCAGCTCACCCATACTGAGGCAACTGAGGAAGCAGCAAGCCTAGACTTGCCCTTCTAAGCTTTCACTGCCTTCTTCATCTTGGTATCAAAGAGCTGGATGAATGTGCAAAGCAGGCATGGGGAAGCTACCTCAGTCTTGATTGGTATAACTAAAAACAACTAGCACCTAGAAAGTGTAAGATCATGACCAGGTAAGTTTAGCCCACTGGTCTATCATTTCCTTAAGAACTTCAGATACTCTACATTCTATGATAGACTTTTTATTCTTATAAAAATTAGAGTATTGCTAGGCATGATGGTCCACACTTGTAGTCCCAGGGGCTGGGGAGGCCGAGACTTATGATCGCTGGAGTTCAGGAGTTCTGAGCTACAGCGGGCTATGCTGACTGGGCTTCCACACTGCATCCAGAGCATAAACTTGGTGAACCCCAGGAAAGAAAGGACAAGCTACCTCTAGGAGGGCAAACCAGCTCAGGTCAGAAAAATAGGAGCAGGTCAAAGCTTCCACTCCAATAAATACTGTAAATGGTTGCTATGCCTCAAGCCCAGGAGAAACAGGAACGCCCAGTCTCAAAACAACCACCATGACCAAACCAAACTACAGTTTTAAGATACAATAACACACCAATTCAGTCTCTCATTTAGATTTATTGTCTTAGTTAAAAGAATCAAAGAAAACATAAGGTTTATATTTTTATCACAGCAGCTTTAAAAATCTAGTTATTTTTGCAAGCACTTTCTAACCATTTCATTGTTTTTTTGTGAAATCCCTTCACGTTTTTAGATTTCAAATTAAATTTTATTTTTTAAATACTTCTCATTTCTCCTGGAATTCAGAAGGTTTTTAACTGATTGAGAATAATGAATAACAGTGACAATAATGGACATCCTTATCTCACCCCCGATCTTATTGGAAATGCTTCTAGCTTATCCTCATTACCTACAATGCTTGCTGTTGGTTTTAGATCAATGCTACCTATCATTTTAAGGAAGACTCTATTTATTCCTATGCTCTTTAGTGTTTTTAACAGTGTTGAATTTTATCAAATACTTTTTCTGCATCTATTGAGATAATCATATGATTTCTGTTAGTTTTGTTGTTGATACGGTCAATTGTACTGATTAGTTCTCCTAATATTGAACCAGTCCTGCATTCCTGGTATAAAATACTACCTGGTCATAGTGTATTATCCTTGAGATGAGTTGTTATAATCTCTTTGCTGATATTTTATTAAAATTTTTTGCATCTATATGCAATAAGAGAAGAAAAAGAAATCAAAGGAATTAGAATAGGCAAAGAAAAAACAAAACTATCACTTTTTGCAGATGATATGAAGGTATAATTAGAGAATCCTAGAGAAACGATTAAAAATTACTTGGAGTAATAAACAAATTTAGCAAAGTTGCAAGATATAAAATAAACCCACATAAGTCACCAGCATTTTTATATATTACTAACAAAGTCCAACAGCAAGAAATAGAAAGAGAAATTCCATTCAAAGTTACTAAAGACATTATAAAATATTTGGGAGTCTATCTCCCAAAACAAACTCAGGAACTATATGAACACAATTACAAAACACTTTTCACACAAAGTCAGATCTAAATAATTGGAAAAATATCAGTTGCTTATGGGTAGGCTGACCTAATATAATAAAAATGACAATCGTACCTAAGCTAATTTACTTATTCAGTGCCATACCGATCAAACTACCAAAAATTATTTTATAGAGCTAGAAAAAACAGTAACAAAATTCATCTGGAAGAACAAAAGGTCCAGAATATCAAGGGAACTAATGAAAAGAAATGCAAGGGAAGGTGGCCTAGCTGTACCAAATCTTAAATTATGTTATAAAGCAGCAATCATCAAAACTACTTGGTACTGTCTAAGAAATAGAGTGGTAGATCAGTGGAATAGGTTAGGTATGCAAGATATAACAGTCGATGACTATACTAATCTACTATCTGATAAATCTAAAGACTCCAACTTCTGGGATAAGAACGCACTATTTAACAACAGCTGCTGGAAAACAGTATGGCAGAAAGTAGGCATAGACCAATATCTTACACCCTATACCAAGATAAAGTCAAAATGGGTACATGATTTAGATATAAAGACTGATACTATAAGCAAAGAGAGAGTAAGGAATAGTTTACCTGTCAGATCTATGTAGAAGGTAAGAATTTATGACCAAACAAGAGATAGACAACATTATGAAATGCAAAATGGATGACTTTGGTTATGTTAAGTTGAAAAGTTTTTGCATAAAGACAATGCAACCAAGATTAGAAGGAAAGCAGAAAGTTGGGAAACAATTTTTACAGCCAGTGTCTCTGATAAAGGCCTCATTTCTAAAATATATTATATAGAGAACTGAATAAAATTTATAAGGATACAAGTCATTCCCCAATTGATAAATGGTCAAAGGATATAAACAGGCACTTTTCAGATGAAGAAATTAAAGCTATCTACAGTCATATGAAAAAATGCTCTAAATCACTATTGATTAGAGAAACAAATCAAAATGACTCTAAGTACCACATCATACCTATCAGATTGGTTAATGTGACAAAATAGGAAGATGATAAATGTTGGAGAAGTTATGGGAAAATTAGAACACTAATGCATTGTTGGTGGAGTTGTGAACTGATCCAACCATTCTGGAGCAATTTGGAACTACGCCCAAAGGGCTATAAAATTGTGCATACTCTTTGACCCAGCAATAATACTACTTCTAGGTCTGTATCCCAAAGAAATAATAAAAATGGGAAAAGGAACCAATGTACAAAAATATTTATAGTAGCTCTTTTTTATGGTGGCAAAGAATCGGAAATTGAGGGAATGCTGAACAAGTTGTGGTATATGAATGTAATGATTGTGCTACAAGAAATAGTGAGTAGGCAGACTTCAGAAAAACCTGGAAAGACTTGCATGAATTGATATTGAGTGAAGTGAGCAGAACCAGGAGAACATCATACACAGTAACAGCAACAATGTGTAATAACTGAGTTTGTTAGACTCTTCTGATCAATGCAATGATCTAAGACAATTCCAAAAGACTCATGATGGAAAATGCTATCCACATCCAGAGAAAGAACTATGGAGTCTGAATGCAGATCAAAGTATACTATTTGCTCTCTCTTTTTTTTTAATTGTTTTGTTCTGTTTCTTCTATCTTGTGGTTCCTCCCATTAGTTCTAATTCTTCTTTACCTCATAATTAATGTGAAAATATGCTTAATATGAATGTATAAGTAGAGCCTCTATCAGACCATCTTGGGGAAAGGGAAGAGGGAGAGGGGAAAATTTTAAACTCAAAATCTCATGGAAGTTAATGCTGAAAACTAAAACTAAAACTAGATTATTAAAAAAAAAAGTTCCAGAAAGAAAGTGCCTACATTCTCCAGGACTTGTCCAATTGCTTTCCTCAAAATCCCAATAGGTCTTCTGCCATATTAGGTTCATTTCTTTGAGGAAAAATACCCCCCCCCAAAAAAAAAAACCAAACATGATGAAGGGACTCTAATAGGTTTTTATCAAATTTAATGTTTTTACCATATAGAAACCAAAACACTCCAGTCTCCAACCCAAGGGGTACTTTGTCTACTGTATATATGATTTCTATTCCCAAGAAACTACAAGCAATATTAGTATACAAATACACATACATGCAGAGGAAATAACAATCACTGTATCTTAGACTCTAATAGAAATGTGTTCCCTCATTTTAGCAAATCCAACAAGGTGCTCCCCGAGTATGAACAATCACACACAGGCACAGAAGAAATCTAAGACCTATTTCTCTTCCTGATGCTGGCAATTAGCCAGCCTACCACTATAGGATAGTATTTACCTCACACCATCAGTTTTCTTATCTGTAAAATGGGGACAGCTAGGTGGCACAATGAATAGAGTGCCAGGCCTGGCCTTAGACACTTACTAGCTGTGTATCTCTGGGCAAGTCACTTCACCCTGCTTGCCTCATTTCCTCATCTATAAAATGAGCTGGAGAAGGAAATGGCAAATCACTCCAGTATTTTTTTCAAAAAAAACCTAAATGGGGCTAAGAAAAGTCAGACATGACTGAAATGACTCAGTAACAAAAACGGAGGCAGTGATAGCACCTCCCTGCCAGGGTTGCCATGAGGGTCAAACGACATAACACTTGTAAAATGCTTGGCACAGAATCAGACACCCAGAAGCTTTTATTATCATTATTATTATTATTATTATCATCATTTTCAAAAGTTTTGAATAGGCTCTATTCTAATGGGTGTCTTGCATATTAAACGGTTTAACATATATTAAATGGTTAGGGATGGAAATGTTTCAGCCAGCCACAGCTTAAGTTTTACTTACAAGAATGGGAGTCGTACCTAATTTACACCAAGAGCACCAAATTTACACTCACATAAGTGATTATATGTAAACACTGAAAGTTCAGTTATCTTTGTGACCCTACTGGAATCACCAACCACTGTGCTATACACTATTCATAGTGCAATGAAAATATTTCAACCAAAGAACTGAATCCCGTTACAAAGAAACAGCCAGTTTTTTAGGGCTAAAAAGGAAACGAGACAGAACCAATTTTGGCAAATGTAGCGAGGTGCAGTTCTACATATACCAAGGTGATTCCCACGCC